CTTTAGACATTCCTATTGTTATGATGTTAAAGGTATTTTTGAGGTACCAAGAGGTATATATAATTAATGTGATAAAATTTGTGGTGGATAGTGACCATTTGTCTTGTGACTTGAGAAAGCTATTGACCTTGATAGATGGCTATAACTACATGTATATAGAAATTATGTATATACAAGCTCGATAGCAAATGGACTCATTAACTTGCTCATGTAACTCTAGCCCCTCTGGTACAGTATCTTTACAATAAAAATATATATTAAAAATGTATGTATATGCATGTATATACTTACATATATGGAGATAAAGATTTTTAAACCTATGTCTATATCCTGAGACTAGTAAATCTAGATTCATTCATATAATTAAAAGATTTTAAACCCAAAGCAGCTGATATAGCTTAGTAGTTTGATGTGAAAGTGATTAAAAGGCCAAACTTTTTTTTCAGGGCCCTTGATCAAGTTTTACCATGCTAAGATAAGGATAGGAAGAAGAAAACAGGCTTAAAAAAATAAGACAATAATGCAGTATTTTCTAGAACAGCTGAAAGAACAGACAGAAATACAAGCATCTTAATGTGTCATAGAAGTGAGTGGTTGTTTTGGTAAGGACAATTGAGATGGATGGGTCCTGAAGCATAAGAAGAATTTTTTTCAAGTGAGCAATAACAAAAAGAAACTTTGTGAAATTGAAATGAGGAAGAAGCCCATTTAATTAAGGACCTATCGAATGAGCAGGCTTCTTGATGTGAGATCAGTGGCTTTATTTATAAATGACAGAGAAACAAGCCATCTGACATTCCCCAGTGCTCCAAGAAGCTGACTAGAGTTCCTCATTCTGCCCAAGAGAAAACCAAGACTCAGTGTGGCTCCCCTCTTACAGCTAGCAAATAGAAGAACCTAGATTTTCTACAATTCTAGCCAGCCCCATGCTTCAGGGCACCATTTCTGCTATGGTAAAAGGCTACACCATTTTTCTTCCCTGATACTTCTCTAGAGGAAATAAATCCCCTAAAGAGAGGAAGTGTTTTTTTGATCTGCAGATTGGAAAAATGGAAGGGATCTAAATGGGGGAAATCTCCTTAATCACCTCTGCTTTGCTGTTTCTGACTGCTAAGAGCTCACTGTAGTTCACTGTGCTCCTGGGACTTATCTAAGGAAGACAAAGCTTATTCAGATCTGTCATGATTGATGGTAGCTTAGGAACATCTTGAATCCACTTTAGGTTTTAGGACAACTTAGAAATGGCAGTCCGCAAAGCAGCTAGCTACCATATCTACTTTGTCCTCACCTTTCTATATTATTATAAAGAGGAGCAGAGTAGCTTAAGAAACATGAAATATGTTCCAGTATTAAAATCAAAAGACTCTGCTTGGATGTATTTGTTCTGATTTTTAATACTTTGCCATATTTCCAATCTTTCAAACAAGAATCCAGTTGTGCTTTTTTGTTGTTGTTGTTTTGTTTTTTTGGTTGTAGGGCTTGAATTCAGGGCCTGGGTGTTGTCCTTGAGCTCTTCAGTTGAAGGCAAGCGCTCTACCGCTTGAGCCACAGTACCACTTCTGGTTTTCTAGTGGTTTATTGGAGATAAGAGTCTCACGGACTCTTATCAAAGCCGGGCTGGCTTTGAACCACGATCCTCAGATCTAGCCTCCTGAGTAGCTAGGATTACAGGCGAGAGCCACTGGCACATGGCAAGAATCCAGTTTTAGTAGTTAAAATAAGATGTTTTTTCACCAAAGTCCTAAGAGAGATAACTGTACCATGATTTTTTGTCCTTAGTCTTATGTGTTTATTTAGAATGGAAGTTTTTCCCCATCCCCTCTACAGGTTGAAATGAATTTCTACTCTGTTTATTACCATCCTGTCTCTTACTTGTTAGATTGAATAAGAGAAAAAAGTTTCAATTTAATGTTAATGTTTCAATAAATGTTAAAATTTAATATTAAAGGTCTAACGTTATGTAGATCTTGGCTTCAGTTCAATGAGTAGCTTTGATTTGTTCCTTAAAATATAAAAGGTTTTGGTAGGATTTCAAGTACTCATTTATCTTTTTATTCCGTCATGGCTAATAAAAAAAAATCAAGTTTCGTGAGTATTAAATCTGTAGAAGTTTGACCTTATTATTCACACTCTAAACTATTCTTTTTTTTTTTTTTTGGGTCCTGTCGTGGGGCCTGAACCCTGGGCTTGGGCGCTGTCCCTCAGCTCTTCAGCTCAAGGCTAGTGCTGTACCACTTGAGCCACAGTGCCACTTCCGGCTTTTTTCTTTTTGCTTATGGGGTGCTGAGGAATCGAACCCAGGGCCTCATGCATATGAGGCAAGTACTCTACCACTGAGCCTCCTTCCCATCTATTATTTCTCAGTAGTCTTTGATCTATTAGGAGTCTTTAGGACTTGACTAGACCTACTCAGGTGTCTCTGATCACTTGAGAATCATCTGGACATCTCTGATCATTTGGAAGTCTCACACATTTACCTGTCTACAAACTGGTTTTCCTCCAAGTAGTTTTTCATCTTTTACTAGGCTTGCCCTGATCATTTCAGACTACCAAGGTTTGGAGAGAGTGAGGGCAGAGTTCAAGGCCTCCGGAAGGTGAGGCTTGAAACTAACATACCATTACTCTCACTAGTCAGTCTGTTATCCCTGAATGGAGAGGCCTTCCAAGCCATATCATGAGGGAGTATCAGTTCAGAATTGGAGCCATTTTGCAATGTGTAATGCAGGGGCAGATATCTTAAGAGTTATAGAGGGGATGAATTCTGAGTGAGGTAATATGTACTGGTTGTTGTAGAAGAAGCAAGTAAAACTTTAGGCCATTTGACTGAAAGGAACAGCAATTTCAAGCCTGATGCTAGTCAAAAAGTGGCAAGTTGAATACTTATATTCTCCCCTTGAGTCTTGGATATAGGTCCTTAAGTAGAAGTGGCTATCTAAGATGTGAAGCAAACAGAATTACTGCTGTGACTCATTACATTTTTTTTTTTGGTCTGGTGAGGCATTGGATGTAATTATGGTTGAACTTAATTGTGCTTGGAAGTTTAGATAAGTTGCTATTGTAGCATTCTCAACTGTGAGAATGATTATGAGGGTTGTAACAAGGCAGTGGAAAGTATTTGTCCATGGATGGAAAGTCTGACCATAGAAATCACTCAAACAGATCCTTTAGAGCCAGTTTCTTTGTTTCGTGTTTGAACATCCTTAGTAGCATGGGTAGGAAATGTCTGGCTCATGGGCTATATAAGGCCCACAAAATCGTTTGGTAGATGACATGATGGACTTACTATGTTTCTTAGAGGCTTCTCCGGGAATGCCTAAAGTCATCTGCCTATATTGACAATTTTATATGGCCTGTGAATTATGTTATAAATGTCGAAGTGACCCTTGGCAGAGAAATTTTCCCACTTCTCTCTGAATTTAGGAGCAAATCAATCATAATGATCACACTCTGGCTTGAGGCTAGAAACCTAATAGTTCTGATAAAATAGATAAAATAAATAATCATATTTCATAGACTAACAGTTTCCTAGAGCTATTTCTTTTATTGTTGTTGCTGGTCCTGGGGCTTGAACTCAGATCCTGGCCACTGCTCAGGGCTAGTGTGCTACTACTTGAGCCAGATCTCCACTTCTGGCTTTGGGGGTAGCTAATTGGAGATAAGAGTCTCATGGACTTTCCTACCTAGATTGTCTTCAAACTGTGATCCACAGATTTCAGCCTTCTGAGTAGCCAGGATTACAGGCATGAGCCACCAGCACCCGGCTGATTTCTCTATTTCTATGCCAGGGAAAACTATACAGTGAGGTATCATCTTTGATTGATATTTTGGCAGTGATAAAAGCTTGGTGGTAGTTTGACAAGAGTAGGATTGTATATGTTTTTTTTTTCTTCTAATACATGCTCCGTAATGAGTAGTTAATGAGCACATGGTTTTTAGCATCTGCTTCAATGATAAAAGTTGAATTTACCTTGCAAAGTGTCCCTGCATCATGCTAGCCATATATGATTTTATTAAGCTTCCCTTATGTGGACTCCTTAGGCCTGATTGTATCTAATGTTGGAAGTAGGTGGAAATGATTTTCTTCCACTCCTCACAGAATGACAGATTGACTGGCAAAGAGCCATACATGAGAACTGGTGCTTGGTCAGGTACATTAAGGAATGATTTTTCTTTTCTTTTTGTTGGTGGTGGGGCTTGACCTCTGGGCCTGGGCACTGTCCTTCAGCTCTTCAGCTCAAGGCTAGTGTTTTACCACTTAAGCCAAAGTGCCATTTCTGATTTTCTGGTAGTTAATTCGATATAAGAGTCTCCCAGAGTTTCCTGCCTGGGCTGGCTTTGAACTGCGATGCTCAGATCTTAGCCTCCTGAGTAGCTAGGACTACAGGCATGAGCCACCAGTGCCCAGCTAATATGAATGATTTCTGTCCTTGCCTTCTACAAAGAAAGAACAAATAGCATACCTTTCAATCAAAGACAAATAGGAGAAGATACTTTTTCAATAAACCCATACTTACAGAAGAAACTCCAGGATTTTTCAAAATGAAATTTTGTTCATTTAATTTTTGCCTAAGAGGTTGTTCACTTTGATATCTACATTAATCTGAATAAACACTGAAGATATACACATCTGTGTGTGTATACAGCTTCACTGCTTTGTAGCTTTTGACCAATAAGATGTCAGTATGCAGTACACTAATATCAACTCTAGGATTGGCTCAACTCCCTCTGATGTCACAATTTCCCCATTAGGAAGTCATAGTTTTCTTGAAATCACATTATGCTACTAATAACTCCTGTTAACTTGTTTCACTGTAAGAAAGATAGTCTACCAAGAATAAAAATGCTGGAAGGAACAACAAACCTTTGATCTGTGAAGACCTTTTCCCTTTTTGTGCTTCAGTAATCTACTGCCAACTACTGAAGCGAGAACATCTTTACTTTCTTTGACAACTGTTGTTGTTTTGTTTTTCATGTTTGATAGTTAATAGATAAATGGAGGAATGAACCCACTTGGACATACTCCTCCACTTCATAGGTCTACTCTGTGTCGACTGTTACGGCTTAGCATCTTTCTACTACTTAGCCTTCCTGACTCTAAAGGAAAAGCAATATGGACAGCTCACCTGAATATAACATTTCAGGTGGGAAATCGGATTATTTCGGAACTAGGAGAGAGCGGAGTGTTCGGGAATCATTCTCCTCTGGAAAGGGTGTCTGGTGCAGTGGTACTTCCGGAAGGATGGAATCAGAATGCTTGTAATCCACTGACCAATTTCAGCAGGCCTGAACAAGCAGACTCGTGGCTAGCCCTCATTGAACGGGGAGGCTGTACATTTACCCACAAAATCAATGTAGCTGCAGAAAAGGGAGCAAACGGGGTGATCATCTATAATTACCCAGGTACAGGTAACAAAGTATTTCCTATGTCTCACCAGGGAACAGAAAATATAGTTGCAGTGATGATAGGAAACCTCAAAGGCATGGAACTTTTGCACTTGATCCAGAAAGGAGTCTATGTGACCATCATCATTGAGGTAGGAAGAATGCACATGCCATGGTTGAGCCACTACATCATGTCTCTGTTTACCTTCCTGGCAGCCACGGTGGCATACCTTTTTTTGTATTGTGCTTGGAGACCCAGAGTTCCCAATACTTCGACCAGGAGACGGAGGCAGATAAAGGCTGATGTGAAGAGAGCTATTGGTCAGCTTCAACTTCGAGTGCTCAAAGAAGGAGATAAGGAGCTGGATCCAGATGAGGACAATTGTGTTGTTTGTTTTGACATGTACAAACCCCAAGATGTAGTGCGTGTTTTAACTTGCAAGCATTTTTTCCATAAGGCATGCATTGACCCCTGGCTTTTGGCCCATAGGACATGTCCCATGTGCAAGTGTGACATTCTGAAATCTTAAGGAAACTGGAGACTCTGCAGAAGAGATAGCCAGATCTTTCTAAGGTTTACGATCAGATGAATTCTCTTGTTGCAACTTAAAGAAAATTTCCACTTCAACTTCTCTACTCAAATATTAAAGAGGGTGAGGTTCCTGTTTTAAAAATAAAACTCCATGTTGTGCTCAACTCTTGAACTGTTGTCTTTTGGATTGGGTCTAGTTGTTATACATTTTTTTCAATGCAGATAAGCACATGAGTATAAGCTAACATATTACTGATCTTTATCTACAAATTACCCGGATTATGACATTGACACAATGGGGAGTAAAATGTTTTTAAATTTCCTAAAAATATTCTTATGCTGTTTTTGTATTTTGTTTAATTTTTGGTTTCCAATCATTTATGTCTGTTGAATAAATGTAATTATAGCATTAGATCCTCATTTAATTTGCCATAGTTACTTAATTTTATTAATAACGAGGAAATCTGGTTTCCACAGCTACTAACTGGGTGGGTAATGAATTCCAAATAATTAGGTGATAATACTTTTGGTTATGTAAGTAAAAGTTTTAAAGTTTATAGGATTCATTTAGGAAAATATTGTAAAAATTCACTGTTTGCCAGATCCCTTTAAATACTAGCATAATAAATCAGCTATGATAACAGATGCCTATCTAGAAGCACCCCTAGTGGTTGTCCTTCCACTGTCTTCCCATACTCTTACCTTTTGCTTCATTTTGGCTCTTTCTCCTTTCTAATAAAAAACAAAACAAAACAAAACAAAAAACCTTATTACAGAGGGGCCAAAAGTCTAGTGTTTTGGTGTTTCAATGAAAATCTCTTTGAGGATGCTATGTAGAATCACTTTTACTCTGATTACTGTACATTTTTAGGGTGTGGAGGCAGGTTGTGTGGTAATAAAGCCAGTGCAATGGCCTTAGAGAAGATCAACCATCATTAGCTCAACGTTTTCTATCAGCACTGTCCCTTGTTGCTCAAGACTGGCACTAACACTTTAGTTACACTTCCATTTCCACTCTTTTTGTGGGGAGGGAGAGGACAGGGCTCATGAAGATGAGTCTCACAAACTTTCTTGGTAGGTCTGGCTTCAAATCATGAAGCTCTCAGCCTCCTGAATAGCTAGGATTATAGACATGAGCCACCAACACCTGGCAATACTCTCTTTATGCTATTTTTTGTTGGGCCCATAGAACACTGCTCCTTCTGCCTTTTTACCAACTGCAGAGTCACATATCATAATCATGGGCTTAGTTGGTGTGGCCCAACTAAAATGTTAGCATCCTATACATCGAAGCAGAGATATTTGTGTTCAAGACAAAAGCTTGGTCTTTAGTTTCTCAGTTCCTGAAAGAGAACCACTTGATACATCCACAAGAAAGTATGTGACAGCAGCTATGGCTGCCCATGTTTTCATGTCATTCTTTAGCTGTAAAGTCATTGTGTGCCTATAACCTGAGAGTGTAGGCAGAACTGGCAGTGTATGTGAGAAGTCTTCCACAAGAGAGGTTTTCTGGTTAATAATTCTATTAAATTTGTCTGTTACTGACCTTTCCCATTGCTGCTGTCAGTGGTTTACTTTAACTGTTGACCTTACAGGGTTTTCTTTTTTTTAAAAAATGAATAGCAGTATTTTTAAAAAAGAGAATTTTGCTGAGCTAGAACTGATCTATTTTGTTTCTCCATCTATCTTCTCTCCTCTTCCTTCAGACTATGGTTAGTAATCGATGACAGGGTCTTCAGAGAAATTCACATCTCTTAAGTAATTAGTCTTTGGGCCTTTTGTCTTCATTCCAGCCATCTGTGTGTGCTGTCATTGTAAGTAAAAGGAAGTGAGACAGAAATGATGTAGCAGGATAACCTACTTTAAAAAAATCCACACAAGATAAATCCCCTCAACAGGAGAAAGTTTGAATTAAATCAGTTACAATACAATGGTAAATAAAAAAGTCAACAATAACACATTGTGATGTAAAACTAGGTTACTGAGCTCCACCTTTCTCTCTCATTTGTTCATGATGCTAGTTTGTAACTATTTACATTATTTTATTTTTTAAGCTTAACAAAGATGTAGCAAAGAAGGAGAAAGCAAAGAAGAAGAAATAGAGAAAAAAAGAGGAACAGGAGTGAGGGGCCAAGTTCAAAAGTACTTTATTCACTGAAGGAAAACAATGACAGTTATATGTTTTATATATTTGTAAGTTTCCAAAGAGCATGTTAAATAAATTTTATGTTTAGTTTTTGGTTTAGTATTAGCTACCTGTAGCCGTTGCAGGTAGCTCAGTGTTTGAATCCATCCTAACACAGAAACCACTCCTCCCACTGGAAACATTGGAGCCAATTAACTGACAGCATGCTCTGAGCCCTGGCCTAATTGGTCGGTTGGTCTTTTAGGTCATAATCACATCATGTAACAGTAAGCAGAATCTAATGCTACAGTAGTGAGGTTAGGAATTTTTTTTTTTCAATCTAAAAGTGTTCCTTTCTCTCTAATAAAACATCTGAAACTCAAGACATCTTTAAGAATTTCTTACAAAAGCATGCTGGAAGACCATGGATCTTGTTTTGGCCCAGAAGATTTTCTTCCCCCCCTACTTCTAAATTGATTGTCAACAGATGTGGAAGCCACACCAGTTTCGGGGGTTGGTTCTTAAGTCACTCAACAGAGAGATGAATCTCCGTAAGATTGGTACTTGGGAAAACAACGATACTGCAACTATCTGGCTTATGAAATTTAGTGTTCTTTGGCTTTTCAGTCAGAACTGTTGTAGAGCAAGTGCAATTTGGACTGCTTACATGAACATATCATTTCATGTTGGGAACCGCATACTGTCAGAATTGGGGGAGACTGGAGTCTTTGGGAAAAGCTCCTCTTTGAAGAGAGTGACAGGTGTTCTACTGCCACCTGAGGGAAAAATTCAAAATGCATGTAATCCCCGAACCAACTTCAGGAGATCAAAGAATGCAGAGACGTGGCTTGCACTTATTGAACGGGGAAGTTGTACCTTCACCCAGAAAATTAAGGTGGCAACCGAGAAAGGAGCCAGTGGAGTGATCATCTATAACTTTCCGGGAACTGGCAATCAGATTTTCCCCATGTTTCATAAGACATTTGAAGACACTGTGGTGGTTATGATTGGTAACTTGAAAGGCATGGAAATTTTGCATTTAATTCAAGAGGGAGTTCGTGTGACAGTCACAGTGGAGGTAGGGAGAAAACACATCATCTGGTTGAATCACTATTTTATCTCCTTTATGATTGCCACGACTGCTGTCTTCACGTATTTCATCTCTTACCACGTTCGAAGGGTTTGGATAGCAAGGATGCAGAACAGGAGGTGGCAACGATTAACCACCAATCTTAAGAGAGCTTTTAGCCAGCTTCAACTTCGAGTGTTGAAAGAAGGGGATGAAGAATTAAATCCTAACGGGGATAACTGTGTTGTCTGCTTTGAACCCTATAAACCTAATGATACAATTCGAATTCTGACTTGTAAACATTTCTTCCACAAGAATTGTATTGACCCTTGGATCCTATCCCATGGCACATGCCCCATGTGCAAATGTGATATTCTGAAAGCTTTGGGGGTGCCAGGGGATATTGAAAATGGAGCTGAATCTCTGCAAGTTCTAATGGCGAATGAATTGCTGGAAGCAGTATCACCTAGGGAAGAGGAAGCCAGTAACGAACTTCCTCCCCTAAGGTCAGATAAAGTGACCCAAGTGGATGAGCACCCTACTTCTCCAAATAATGACAGCCAGCCGGACACAGTGGTGGGAACTGTTCATCCCTCACCTTGACATCGTGACCTTGGAGAAAGTAGATTAAACCTGTCTGTCAAATCAGGTCCAAACAGACAAGTAGTTGAAGTGTGTTTTTGTGTGTCCTTTTCTATTTTGACAACTTTTTACTTTACCAATCTTCAAAGAAAAAAAAAGGCTAATGGGATATTTTAGTTTTTGACTTATTATTCAAGTGTGTTATTCTTTTGTGTGCACATATGTTCCTTTCTGTGTTCCTTTCCTGTTAAAAATAAGGAAAGACTTTTTTGCTCTATTTTTTGTGTTTATAGTGGGCCTCATTTTGGTAAGAAAATTGTTTGTATAAGTTCCTATGCCTTCTAATACACACACCATCAATTAAGATGGAAAAACATGAATTGCCTTTTATGTGCTAACAAGAGTATTTTTGATATTATTTCAGTATATTTTTTCCACTTCTTGCAGGTTTTTTTTTTGCTTGGCATGAAAATTTTGTCGTACAGAATTTTATTACTCTTCAGTAGTAGTCAAGTAATTAATGGGTTCTGTTTGTTCTTCATCTTCCTTATTGAGAGCAAAGTAAAAACAAAGTACTAGCACTCCTTAAGTAACAGCAAACATTTCAGCACTCAATATTACTGTGATAATTCTTATGTGATTATAATATATGTATTCAATGATCTGTAGTGGTATGCTTATTTTCCATGAGTTTGACCTCATCCCAATTCATTTTTTTCCCATAATGAAAACATTTGAGATAGACCAAGTTATTTTGCAAGTAAGTAGTACTATTTAGAAATGATAACTAAGAAATCTTGGGATAATGTTAATTTTCTTCACAGTATTTCCAAGGTCTACCTGGCACTCATGGCATTTTGTTTGCTTGCTTGCTTGCTTTGTTTTGTTTTGTTGTTGCCAGTCCTGGGGCTTGAACTCAGGGCACTGTCCCTGAGCTTCTTTTTGGTCAAAACTAGTACTCTACCACTTGAGCCACAGCACCACTTTTTTCTGGCTTTTTCTGTTTATGTGGTACTGAGGAATCAAACCCAGGGCTTCATGCATGCTAGGCAAACACTCTACCACTAAGCCATATTCCCAGCCCAACACTCATGTTTTTGAATGATGAATGCATATCAGAATAAATGAGGAAAAATATTTTTCACCATTGATGTTCTTTTAACCTGAAAAAATAGGCAAGTTTCTTCTAATTCTACAATACAATGGAAAATTAATGGAAATGAATTAATGGAAATTTTTATCCTCAATCACAGTGACAAAATATTAAAATAGAATTTGAATCCAGCATTCAAGTTATTCAAATTATTATAGTTTAGCATAACTTAAATGGCAGTTTAGCCATGCATACTATTTTTCATGCATTTTTATTGTTATTAAAGTGATGTAGAAAGGGGTTACAGTTACATAAATCAGAGAATATTTCTTTTTGAACGGTGTCATCCCTTTCCTCCTCCTCCTCCCAGTTTTTCCCTTCTGTCCCCACCTACAAGTTGTATAGTTCATTTTCAACATAGTGTCCAGTGAGCACCGCTGCTGGATTTGTTCACCATATCTCTCACCATTTTTGTGCTCCCTGTTACCCTCCAAAGACAGATAATGAAACAAGTGAGATAAAGGGGAAATAAAGGCAGCAACAAAGAAAAAACTTATTTCCATTTCTGGAAGTTCATTTTGATAAATATTATTTTATATGATCAGATTTGCATCAGTATTGTAACTATGTGTTTTTCTCCTAAGAATATCATCTTCTGTCTCACTGTGACTGCCTAAAGATCTGTATAATTTATCCTGTCTCATCCAGTGTCTTTATTTGTAGATTTATAGGTGTATTCTAGGTGCCACAAATGAGGCAGACCAAGCAATCTATGTTCTCTGAGTCAGACTTACTTTGCTTACTACAATTTTTCAAAGTCTTTACATTTTCTTATGAATAGTGCAATATGATTGTTTCTGATGGATGAATAGAATTTTATTGTGTATAAATACCACAGTTTCTTGATCCATATGTCCACAAAGTGGCATCTGGGCTGATTCCATGCAGCGTCTTTATGAGGAACTTTGAACTCTGTCAAACCAACACCAGGGTTGGAATTGCTGGGAAGTCCTAGAGGAGACTTTGCAAAGAGCAGTTTCATGAGCTGGTAGTATTGGAATTTGGAAATAGGCAGGACAGTTAGTAGTGGTTTGCAATGGCAGGAAATCTATGTAAAGGAAACAGAGCAGTCTTCTCTATACAAAGAGAATCAGGAAATAGCAAAAACAGGGCAGATGACAGATGGGAAAATGTCTTGCTTGGTGTGTATAGACTTTCTTATACACAACAAGTATGAGTATTGATCATAAGAGCCATTCTTTCTTTGAAAGAACTACACAGCATTGGACTGCTGGAATCTTTAGCAGGAATAGAGTTTGGGGTATTGTTTGGAGTTTACTCTGGGACTATACACCTATTCCAAAAAGCCACACTGAAGAGAGAGACACTGAAGGTCATAAAAGCTCCTCCTCTTGGAGAATCAGCTTTCAGTCAGGATTAGGGTTCGTTCTTGCACTGTCCACTGTGAATGTATCTGCTACTGAAGAGAGTCTGTCCCCTGATGTCTACTGGCTAGTCAAGAGATTTATTAGAGCTCTGTAATTGAATGTGTTGGGCTGGAGATGAAACTAGATGGTAGAGCACTTGCCTACAATGCATATATTACCCTGGGTTTGAGCTTCAGCACTGCAGGAGAAAAGCATTGATATCTAGAAATGAATGTGTCTAAGTAGTAAAGGGGCTAGGGTTCACAGTCCCTGAACCAAGAGTTTCGCATTGTTAGCTCATAGCAAATTCATATGGGGGTGCTTATTCCTTGATAAGACTTAGCACTTAAGGAATTTGTTCTTCAGAATTAGAATTCTGTTATGTCTTCTTACCATTACTCTGCACACTTCTTAGTTTCTTCTTTCTTACCCCCCCCCTTTTTTTGGTGCATCACTGTTGTCATTTGTTCATCAATTTCAAGTTCAGGCTCAACTTATCCCCATGCATAAGGAAATTTGCAGGTGTTCGTTTGTTCAAAAGAGATCTTTTGTGAATGTGGTTATTTAACACAGTGTGCTTGTCTCGTCTTGAGAACTTCAGTGAATGTCCCTTCCAGGGTGGTAGGAAGATGCACTGATGGTGGGAAGGAGGATCAAGTTAGTGAATTTGGGAGCTATCACTTCTGAGTACCTCAAATGTACCAGGCAGAGAACCAAGTGCACTTGCAAACATAGCAGTTTTGTCTGTGTCAGCACAAAACAGTAGTTCTAGGCCATGTCTTTAGAATGTTGTAAACAGATCAATAAACTACTTTTACTCTGGCTTTAATAACCAGGAACTAGAAATAGCACTGCCATGTCAAATGTTAGGTTATTACTTATTGTTCTTGATTTTTTTTAACCAAATCTGTGAGTTATGTCAGTTTGGGTTAAACTTAGTTATGCAAATTTATTTTGCCATAATGACACTACACTGTAATGTAGCTTGTGTGTGTATGTGTGTAAAACCAGCATCAAAATAGGTTTCCACTTACACTTCTTCTTTTTATATGTCTGATAATAAGTTTGATTCCCTTTCCTCATATCAGCAGGGACTTGATACTCCATCCGTTACTGGGGGTTGAATTGAAAACCTTGTGCTTGCTAGACTGGTGCTCTAGCACTTCAGCCATGTTCCCAGCCCTTTTTGCTGTTATTTTTTGTCGATTGTGGGGCCTGAACTCTGGGCCTGGGTGTTGTCCTTCAGCTCTTCAGTTCAAGACTAGCACTCTACCACTTGAGCCAAGTACCATTTCTGGCTTTTTCTGTTTATGTGGTGCTGAGGAATCGAACCCAGGGCCTCATGCATGCAAGGCAAGCACTGTGCCACTGAGCCACCTTCCCAGCCCCTCTGCTGGTTATTTTTGAAATAGGGTTTTGTTCAGATCTGCCTATTTTAGACTTCTCGTCATTGCTGAGATTCACAAGCAGACAACTACATGTTGCTTCCCTCCATGGAGATGGACTCTCATGGACTTTTCTGCTTAGACTGCCCTAAAACCACAGTCCTCTCAACCTCAGCCACCCAAATAGCCTGAAATAGCAGTATGTGTCACTGTAAACAGCTGGGGGTTGGAAGGAGTCTCAATGACTTTTTAGCATGGACTGGTCTTGAACTACAGTCCTTCCTTGCTCAGTGTCCCAAGTGGATAGAATTTAAAAATAAGCTCCCAATACCTGGTTATGTTGGGTGCTTCTTACTTTTTTTTTTTTTAAAAAAGCTAGTTTTTGATACCATTTCTGGGATATATTAAGTTTAGTGTGCACTGAAGTGAAACACAGTCCAGCATATTTTACTTGTTATTGGGTGATGTGATAGATGAAATCATTTACTCTTGTCCATGTGTACTAAGATAAGATGTGCAATGACAGAACTCTTACTATAATGTTGTCGTGACTGTAATGAAATGTTGTACTTAAAAGAATATGAGCCTTTCAAAGGATTTATGGACCCAGGGAATCTGACTTTTCTTATGGGATTCAAACTTAGTGTATATTTTAAATGGTGTCTCCTTCTTCATACATCGTGGGTTTTGAAACAATGGCAGAAAACTAGGAAGGGAGAAGAACAGAGTTTGAGGTGGCATCAAGCTAAGGGGAAGTCTTTACATGCTGATCCTGTGAAGGCATTGCTTTAATGACAGTTGTATCCTCCCATTCCATGGTTTACCATAAGCACCTTATAAATACAAAGAGAGAGAGAGAGATGGGTGTGTGTGTGTGTGTGTGTGTGTGTGTGTGTATAATGACTTTGTCTTTGTATTTTTTTTGTCTTCAGTTCTTTCAATCTTTAGTTCTTAGTAATAAAATATTAGGACTATAGGTTATAACATTTAACACTGCAGGAATATCTTAAATTATACCTGTCATTCTAAAAACAGAAAAAAAAAGCAAGCAAACAAAGATAGCTTTTGAATTATGGGCTGAGTAGGGCTATACTTAAACTTTAAAGGAAACAGCTC